AGGTATTGATGGTAAACAGTGAGCTAAGTAACATAGTTTAATTAATATGATACAGTAATTGTCAGTAAAATATGTGTATGTGATTTAAATATATAGTTTAATTTTTTTTATATTATTATTGGATTCAATTAACAACTTACATGACTTTAAAAGTTTATTTCATCAAAAATTTGAATTATCTAAATTATATACTGTTAGCAATAATTGATGTCAACTTATTTATCAACTAAAATACAGTTAAAGTATAGTTAAAATTAAACTGGTATAGAAATTTTTATTTTAATAAAGAAATGTTTGATATATAATATATTTACAAAATACAAAATGAAAAACATAAATCTAAATCAAATATATAATAATAATAAATTAAAACTTTAAATTTAATTATTGAATTGTTTTCTGTATCGTTGTAACCATTGATTGTATATCAAGTATATCATCAAACAGTTGAGTATCAATAGGATTACAATTACCACAATATACTGTATAATATAGTTTTCAACCATTTAAACCAATTAATTGGGCCATTAGTTTGTGTGCCGGCTGTTGTATGTATGGCTGTTGTTGTTGTTATATGGGAACAGTCTATCAGTGTCTTTAGATTTTCTGGTGTACACTAAATAAAAATTTATTACTAAATTTATTAATTCATATATTAGTAGATATTGTTGCTAATAATTAAAAAAAATACAAAAACATACGGCCATATCATTGTATGGATTTCCCACATAACAGTATTTGATACTATTGTTGTTGGCATTCATAAACACTATAGATCCCTGGCCATTTATATTAGTTGCACATGAGTTAGAACAATCATTATTGCTATACTGTGCCACTATTGCCATAATAGGGTATTGACTATTGATTTTTTGCTCCTGTTTTGCCTCAATAATAAATCGGTGATCACTTTTTAATTCATTGGGAAGATCTTCATTTAGTTTGTTTGAATCCCAAAAGTTAAACACTTTTGTCTGACCACTGGTCGACATAAAGGTGACGATACGATATTTAAACTGAAACGGAAACGATACCCACACCAGTAATGGCTCAAAGTCGGCACCAAATGTTATGGTCGTTGTGTTGAGTGTTTGATTGACATCCAATGTGTTAGGCATCAGAACCGCCCAATCAATTGTTTTCAGGTCTTTCTAATTGTGGTTTTCATACATAGAAACAAAAATCAAGTAATATATATATTAATATATATACATAAAAATTATTGAATGTATAGATAAATAGAAAAAGAAAAAAAAATGTTACCTTAAGAGCACCGGTACGACAGTGATCTACTTCTATGACGGGAAATGTAGGAAATTTTGAAGCATTATAGTAGACACACCAGACCATCGAGTATTTCTCACCGGACAACCAGTCAGACTGACCGATACTTTCGTTATAAATTTACTTTTGTTGACGTCATTGTAATTCAATTTCCAAAAGTGATTACCAATGAAAAAGTATTTCAAATATTCATAATCTAAATCTTGGATTGTTTTGTCAATAAAACGAAATCCAAAATCAATTTTATTGTCATTTCTGACATATTGTTCGCAAAAATCATTGGACTCGACAAAGAGGATCACCGATGCAATGGTCGACAACATTAACATCACTGTTGCTGTTAATCCTAGAAATTTACACATTATTTATTCAAAGTTTAAATAATATATATTTTGTTACCAATCAGTTGATTGATGACATTTATAGTTGAAGATATCAAATCAATTGCAATGAAAAACTATTTAATATAAACAGATTTTTTTTTTTTAAATAAATAACAAAACGACAATTTATTAGTATCTATTTGACCGTTAAAACTAAATTTGTCTTAATTGTAGAATATATATATATATATATATATAATACTGTACTTTATAAATACTATAAATTGTTGTATTGCATTCAATCAAATGCATTAAATAACATACATATAATAATAATGTAATAATAATAATGCAATAATAATAATGCAATAATTTTAATTAATAACTAATTAATAGTTTTCTTTTTTAATCACTTTGTGGTTATAGTGGTATAGATTTTTTTTAAATAAAAATTTATGGCTAAATTGACTTTTGGTCTCATAAGCTAAAAGTCGTTATTTTAAACAACAAAAAAAACATTATATATATTAAAAATATAAAAGTGCGGAAACACAAAAAAAATCTACTTAAAAAACTATTATAACATACCTGGCCTCATATATACTGTATATACACTGTTATAAACTTTAACCACATAATAAATCGCGAGAATATTAATATCAATTATTAACAATAATCAATATTAATTTTTTGAATCTATTGAATCCAATATTAATGACATTATTTCCTTAAAAAATTTAAATTACAATAAATACTGTTAGCAATAATTGATGTCAATTATTTATCAATTAAAATTGCAATATTCAAATTTATTGGATAAGTTGACAGTTGTTTTTACAATTAAATGTCTTATAAATCTATGATTAGCTATAGTATTGTGTTAGTAGTAGAAGTAGTTATTGTTGTTGTGTTGACCATTGAATCGGAAGCCGTGACCAAAGATTTTTGTATTGAATTTGTGAATAATGACCGCAAAATTGATTTCTCGTTGCGTTTATATCAATATCATGACATATACTATCACAAGATATTTTTTATCGGCGACACATTTTGGACACTTAAATACTACGACAGTCTCCACAACAAGACAGTAACCATCGACAGCAACAGTACCGGTGTTTCCGACTGGTTGTCCGGTCAGAAGTACTCTATGGTGTGGTGTTCATGGTTTAAGGCCAACGATATTCCTGGTGTCAATGTTCGACATTGTCGTGTAGGTGCTCTGCGGGTGGGTGTAAATATTGTAGCAACTTTCGTGCGGTAATCATTTGTAGGACTGTTTTCATGTTACTTTCGACACGTTTCTCCCCTTTGACCACCATCCCCAACGGTAAGGTTACACTGTCACTACACGGATCGACACCTCACGTGACGATACCCTCAACAGTATCTCTATTCGTTACTCAGATCACCACAATACATGACACAACTTTATTATCTTTACCTTTGACTATTATGTGACAAGATTTCCAAGACGAACTCCAACGATTAGATCCACTGTTCCGCCGTTGATTACACCAACGCTATACTTTTATATCAACCTTTAATTATACTTACTCCCAAATATCTCTGCCCGCTTACCTCGGAAGGGACGCGGGCGCAGGGCCCGGTCCCTTCAATAACTTACACCTCAAAGTTCAATTAAAACCTTTACCTTTATTTATTATACTAATTTTATGAGGGATACAGGTAAATATACGTCTCTCCACTTCGAAGGCCAGATCACAACTCTCTTCTCTCTCTCCAAAATTCAACTCAACTCAGATCAAGAGAAACATCTAAACACATGCGTGGTTTAACATATTAAATTAGCCAATAGTATAATTTGCTAATAACTTATACAATCCCACTAAAATAAATCTACTCCTACTTAAAGTCCATGTAAACTAACCCTATATATATGATATAACCTATGGATTAATAACCTTTGAATTAAATAGCCTTCTCGCTCTGTAACCTACTCGTTACATAGCCTTCTCGCTATAATTCTTATATAAAACTAGAGTGAATGTCCTAACTCGACTTCCTCTGATAGGTAAATAACGTGAATTTTCACAATATATTGCACACTAATAATAGCAATCAATTAATTTTATATAAAAATTATTAATTACATGACAATCCTATTAGAAAGACATGAAAACCATTGACTGGGCTTACATTTCTGCCGATACGCTGAATGTCAAACACGCGGCCAACGACACGACAACCATAGAGTTTGTTAATGAATTTAGGCCAACATTTGCTTGGATGCCAATACCATCTCAAAGTGAACGCCGTTACGTAACGTTTTGGTACAAAGGTTTGACTAAAACCTATAATTTTGATAATCCTGACAAACCGTTTATGGATATCAACAAAACAGATACAATACCAAAGAAAATTATTAGAGGAAGAAACGAAGCATATGTTAATAATGCGACAGAAATAATGACAATTATTAGTCAGTTTAGTCAAAATGATTACGATAATGGTCATGTTTTTGGTTATACTACTACAACTGATGGCCAGGGATCCATTGTCTTTATGAATATCAACAGTACTATCAAATATTGTTATGTTGGAATGCCGTTCAACATGAAGGCTGTATGTTATATATATTATATATATATACAGTATAATTGTTGGTATTTTTTTTAACCATTATATATATATATATATATATTGTATGCATGTTTGTCAGTGTATGCGTAGTGAGTAGTGAAGAGTTAGAAAGTCTACTGAAAAACTGTACCGACAATGGATTTGCACCCAATGTCGACAATTGTTTGCCACTGATGCCCAATATGACCATCGATGTCTGCATCCAAGTCTGCAATGGCTATGGACAATGTTCTGATTCTGTTTTGTCTGGACATCTGTTTTGTTAGACCCATAGGTAGTGATGACCACCGATCCCGATCTCCAGCACTTTATCATCCATTGATTTCATCCTTTATCACCACCGGTACTGTAATCGCCAGTGTTTTCTGTGATGTTGTTTGTCTGTCTGACTATAAAATACAACTAATCATATATTAAACTATTGTTTTAGTTATTATAATATTTTTTTGTGCAAAATATATTCATTAATTATTATCTTTTGATATGATTTTTATATAGAATTTACAGTCAATTTATTTATTAATAAATCATTTAATTATTATATATTATATTACTGTATAATAAATCTTATAATAACTATAATAAAGATAATGATAATAAAGATAAACAAATATCAGAGTTGACACCAAACAAACAAACAAAAAAAAAAGATAAATTATTACAGAATTTTCTATACAATATATTGAGAGAGTATTAACTAATAAAAATCAATAATTATAAGAAAGAAAGAGAGAGAGAGAAACTAATATATTATTCAATATAAATGTCAGTTTTATTGTTGTTGTCCTGTCTGTAGGTATGTGTCTATGAAACACCAGTTTTTCTCTTTTTGTTTACTTTACTCATAGATGACGGACTGGTCGATCCTAATCTCACCGACGATCTACTAAAAACATTATGCATTTCATCTAAATATATATATTTTTGAAAAAATTGTATTAATATCTGTATGTTTGAAATGTTTTTGTATTTTATTTGTTATTATTCATCCATACCTTCCCTTCCAGAACTGGCATTAAAACACAAGACTATTCCAATGATTAGTGACATTAGTATAACTGATGTGACAATCAGTATAAGCAGAGTAATCAAATATGACTGGGTTTTTGGTGGTGGAGTCGATGTTGGTGTCGATGTCGGAGTTTTTGAACAGTCAATCAATGTTTTCAAATGTTTCGGTAGACACTGACAAACATGCATACAATATATATAATTATTAAAAAAATACCAACAATTATACTGTATATATATAACATACAGCTGTATTGTTGAACGGCAGTCCAACATAACAATATTTGATAGTACTGTTGATATTCATAAAGACAATGGATCCCTGGCCCTCAGTTCCAGTATAATAATGTTTCACGTAATCATATTCACTAAACTGACCAATAATTGTCATTATTTCTGTCGCCTTATTAACATATGATTCGCTTAATCCTCTAATAATTTCTTTTGGTATTGTATCTGTTTCGGTGATATCCATAAACGGTTTGTCGTGTTTATCAAAATTATAGGTTTTAGTCAAACCTTTGTACCAAAACGTTACGTAACGATTGTCACTTTGATATGGTATTGGCATCCAAGCAAATGTTGGCCTAAATTCCTTACCAAACTCTATGGTTGTCGTGTCGTTGACCGCGTGTTTAACATTCAGCGTATCGGCAGAAATGTACGCCCAGTCAATGGTTTTCATGTCTTTCTAATGGGATTTTCATGTAATTAACAATTTATATATAAAATTAACTGATTAATTGATTGCTATTATTAGTGTGCAAAATATTTACACCCACCCGCAGAGCACCTACATGACAATGTCGAACATTGACACCAGGAATATCGTTGGCCTTAAACCATGAACACCACACCATAGAGTACTTCTGACCGGACAACCAGTCGGAAGCGCCGCTACTGTTGCTGTCGATGATAACTGTTTTGTTGTCGACGCTGTCGTAGTATTTAAGTGTCCAAAATGTGTCGCCGATAAAAAATATCTTGTGATAGTGTATGTCATGATATTGATATAAACGCAAAGAGAAATCAATTTTGCGGTCATTATTCACAAATTCAATACAAAAATCTTTGGTCACGGCTTCCGATTCAATGATAAATACAATAACAACTACTTCTACTACTATCACTAAACTACAGCTAATCATAGATTTATAAGACATTTAATTGTAAAAACAACTGTCAACTTATCCAATAAAATTGAATAATGAAATTGATTTAATAAAACAGTAATTAATAAACTATATGTAATAAAAGTTAAATTTATAACAATTAAAATAAAATCTCGTAGTATTAAGACAGTATTAATTTATGATTATATAATTTTTATTATAGTTACAAAAAAAAATAAAATCATACTGATATATCTGATGACATAACTTATGGTTTGTGCGGGAGGGTAGGTATTGATGGTAAACAGTGAGCTAAGTAACATAGTTTAATTAATATGATACAGTAATTGTCAGTAAAATATGTGTATGTGATTTAAATATATAGTTTAATTTTTTTTATATTATTATTGGATTCAATTAACAACTTACATGACTTTAAAAGTTTATTTCATCAAAAATTTGAATTATCTAAATTATATACTGTTAGCAATAATTGATGTCAACTTATTTATCAACTAAAATACAGTTAAAGTATAGTTAAAATTAAACTGGTATAGAAATTTTTATTTTAATAAAGAAATGTTTGATATATAATATATTTACAAAATACAAAATGAAAAACATAAATCTAAATCAAATATATAATAATAATAAATTAAAACTTTAAATTTAATTATTGAATTGTTTTCTGTATCGTTGTAACCATTGATTGTATATCAAGTATATCATCAAACAGTTGAGTATCAATAGGATTACAATTACCACAATATACTGTATAATATAGTTTTCAACCATTTAAACCAATTAATTGGGCCATTAGTTTGTGTGCCGGCTGTTGTATGTATGGCTGTTGTTGTTGTTATATGGGAACAGTCTATCAGTGTCTTTAGATTTTCTGGTGTACACTAAATAAAAATTTATTACTAAATTTATTAATTCATATATTAGTAGATATTGTTGCTAATAATTAAAAAAAATACAAAAACATACGGCCATATCATTGTATGGATTTCCCACATAACAGTATTTGATACTATTGTTGTTGGCATTCATAAACACTATAGATCCCTGGCCATTTATATTAGTTGCACATGAGTTAGAACAATCATTATTGCTATACTGTGCCACTATTGCCATAATAGGGTATTGACTATTGATTTTTTGCTCCTGTTTTGCCTCAATAATAAATCGGTGATCACTTTTTAATTCATTGGGAAGATCTTCATTTAGTTTGTTTGAATCCCAAAAGTTAAACACTTTTGTCTGACCACTGGTCGACATAAAGGTGACGATACGATATTTAAACTGAAACGGAAACGATACCCACACCAGTAATGGCTCAAAGTCGGCACCAAATGTTATGGTCGTTGTGTTGAGTGTTTGATTGACATCCAATGTGTTAGGCATCAGAACCGCCCAATCAATTGTTTTCAGGTCTTTCTAATTGTGGTTTTCATACATAGAAACAAAAATCAAGTAATATATATATTAATATATATACATAAAAATTATTGAATGTATAGATAAATAGAAAAAGAAAAAAAAATGTTACCTTAAGAGCACCGGTACGACAGTGATCTACTTCTATGACGGGAAATGTAGGAAATTTTGAAGCATTATAGTAGACACACCAGACCATCGAGTATTTCTCACCGGACAACCAGTCAGACTGACCGATACTTTCGTTATAAATTTACTTTTGTTGACGTCATTGTAATTCAATTTCCAAAAGTGATTACCAATGAAAAAGTATTTCAAATATTCATAATCTAAATCTTGGATTGTTTTGTCAATAAAACGAAATCCAAAATCAATTTTATTGTCATTTCTGACATATTGTTCGCAAAAATCATTGGACTCGACAAAGAGGATCACCGATGCAATGGTCGACAACATTAACATCACTGTTGCTGTTAATCCTAGAAATTTACACATTATTTATTCAAAGTTTAAATAATATATATTTTGTTACCAATCAGTTGATTGATGACATTTATAGTTGAAGATATCAAATCAATTGCAATGAAAAACTATTTAATATAAACAGATTTTTTTTTTTTAAATAAATAACAAAACGACAATTTATTAGTATCTATTTGACCGTTAAAACTAAATTTGTCTTAATTGTAGAATATATATATATATATATATATAATACTGTACTTTATAAATACTATAAATTGTTGTATTGCATTCAATCAAATGCATTAAATAACATACATATAATAATAATGTAATAATAATAATGCAATAATAATAATGCAATAATTTTAATTAATAACTAATTAATAGTTTTCTTTTTTAATCACTTTGTGGTTATAGTGGTATAGATTTTTTTTAAATAAAAATTTATGGCTAAATTGACTTTTGGTCTCATAAGCTAAAAGTCGTTATTTTAAACAACAAAAAAAACATTATATATATTAAAAATATAAAAGTGCGGAAACACAAAAAAAATCTACTTAAAAAACTATTATAACATACCTGGCCTCATATATACTGTATATACACTGTTATAAACTTTAACCACATAATAAATCGCGAGAATATTAATATCAATTATTAACAATAATCAATATTAATTTTTTGAATCTATTGAATCCAATATTAATGACATTATTTCCTTAAAAAATTTAAATTACAATAAATACTGTTAGCAATAATTGATGTCAATTATTTATCAATTAAAATTGCAATATTCAAATTTATTGGATAAGTTGACAGTTGTTTTTACAATTAAATGTCTTATAAATCTATGATTAGCTATAGTATTGTGTTAGTAGTAGAAGTAGTTATTGTTGTTGTGTTGACCATTGAATCGGAAGCCGTGACCAAAGATTTTTGTATTGAATTTGTGAATAATGACCGCAAAATTGATTTCTCGTTGCGTTTATATCAATATCATGACATATACTATCACAAGATATTTTTTATCGGCGACACATTTTGGACACTTAAATACTACGACAGTCTCCACAACAAGACAGTAACCATCGACAGCAACAGTACCGGTGTTTCCGACTGGTTGTCCGGTCAGAAGTACTCTATGGTGTGGTGTTCATGGTTTAAGGCCAACGATATTCCTGGTGTCAATGTTCGACATTGTCGTGTAGGTGCTCTGCGGGTGGGTGTAAATATTGTAGCAACTTTCGTGCGGTAATCATTTGTAGGACTGTTTTCATGTTACTTTCGACACGTTTCTCCCCTTTGACCACCATCCCCAACGGTAAGGTTACACTGTCACTACACGGATCGACACCTCACGTGACGATACCCTCAACAGTATCTCTATTCGTTGCTCAGATCACCACAATACATGACACAACTTTATTATCTTTACCTTTGACTATTATGTGACAAGATTTCCAAGACGAACTCCAACGATTAGATCCACTGTTCCGCCGTTGATTACACCAACGCTATACTTTTATATCAACCTTTAATTATACTTACTCCCAAATATCTCTGCCCGCTTACCTCGGAAGGGACGCGGGCGCAGGGCCCGGTCCCTTCAATAACTTACACCTCAAAGTTCAATTAAAACCTTTACCTTTATTTATTATACTAATTTTATGAGGGATACAGGTAAATATACGTCTCTCCACTTCGAAGGCCAGATCACAACTCTCTTCTCTCTCTCCAAAATTCAACTCAACTCAGATCAAGAGAAACATCTAAACACATGCGTGGTTTAACATATTAAATTAGCCAATAGTATAATTTGCTAATAACTTATACAATCCCACTAAAATAAATCTACTCCTACTTAAAGTCCATGTAAACTAACCCTATATATATGATATAACCTATGGATTAATAACCTTTGAATTAAATAGCCTTCTCGCTCTGTAACCTACTCGTTACATAGCCTTCTCGCTATAATTCTTATATAAAACTAGAGTGAATGTCCTAACTCGACTTCCTCTGATAGGTAAATAACGTGAATTTTCACAATATATTGCACACTAATAATAGCAATCAATTAATTTTATATAAAAATTATTAATTACATGACAATCCTATTAGAAAGACATGAAAACCATTGACTGGGCTTACATTTCTGCCGATACGCTGAATGTCAAACACGCGGCCAACGACACGACAACCATAGAGTTTGTTAATGAATTTAGGCCAACATTTGCTTGGATGCCAATACCATCTCAAAGTGAACGCCGTTACGTAACGTTTTGGTACAAAGGTTTGACTAAAACCTATAATTTTGATAATCCTGACAAACCGTTTATGGATATCAACAAAACAGATACAATACCAAAGAAAATTATTAGAGGAAGAAACGAAGCATATGTTAATAATGCGACAGAAATAATGACAATTATTAGTCAGTTTAGTCAAAATGATTACGATAATGGTCATGTTTTTGGTTATACTACTACAACTGATGGCCAGGGATCCATTGTCTTTATGAATATCAACAGTACTATCAAATATTGTTATGTTGGAATGCCGTTCAACATGAAGGCTGTATGTTATATATATTATATATATATACAGTATAATTGTTGGTATTTTTTTTAACCATTATATATATATATATATATATATTGTATGCATGTTTGTCAGTGTATGCGGAAACATTTGAAAACATTGATTGACTGTTCAAAAACTCCGACATCGAGACCAACATCGACACCAACATCGACACTAACATCGAGTCCACCACCAAAAACCCAGTCATTTTTAATTACTATTCTCATACTGATTGTCACATCAGTTATATTAATGTTACTAATCATTGGAATAGTCTTGTGTTTTAAACCCAGTCCTGAAAGGCAAGGTATGGGTCTATAATACAACTATAACAACAAAAACATTTTAAACATACAAATATTAATACAACTTTTTTTTCTAAAAAAAATATATATATATTTAGATGAAATGCATAGTTCTTTTAGTAGATCGTCGATGAGATTAGGATCGACCAGTTCGTCGTCTATGAGAAAAGTAAAAAATAAGAGAAAAACTGGTGTTTCATCGACACTACAGACCTACAGACTGGCCAACAAAAAAAGCTGACATTTATAATGAATAGTATATTAGTTTTTTTTATTTCTTATAATTATTGTTTGATTTTAGTTAATACTCTCTCAACATATTGTATAGAATATTCTGTAATAACTATTTACTAATGTATTGATTAATAATTATTTAAAACTGTATTCAAATAATTGTTATAATAATTTCTTAAAATCGCCAAATATTTATTTAAATAGTTATTTATTTATTTTTTAAAAAATATGTACAAATAAATACAATGATTTTTATTAGATTGGATGATAAAAAAATAAATAAATAATATTTCAAATTATTTTCTTTAAATCATGATTTTTTTCACTTAAAATATTTTTTAAAATAGAAAATCTCTCAATAGTTGTAATTATAATTACCAAAAATGTCAAATAGTTATTGAAATAGTTAGGCGTGGTTCACATATTACGTTCGCACTTGAGGGGAGGGGGGTAGCCAAAGCGAACTTTTGCGAACGAGGGGGAGGGGAGGGGTAGAGACTTTAAGAACGTTCGCATTTAGATATTTTATTTCTTGTGGGTGAGGGGGGGTAGCGGTTAGGGAAATGCGAACGTAATTTTTTAAAATGATTACATGCGAACAATTGCGAACATAGGGGAAGGAGGGGGTCTAGATTTCTTAAAAAGTGCGAACGTAATATGTGAACGACGCCTTAACAATCGTTTGGTTATTAAAAACAACTGATGATTATTTGTTGAGTGAAAAAACAATAGAGTCTTAAACAGCGGCGGCGATGCTTTTAATTACAATTATCAGGTCAACAATAAATTTGATAAAAAACTAACCAATGGCAATGTTGTAGATAATTTTAAACTGAATTAAAATTGTAATTGGTCATTTTTTAATTAATTATATGATTGGCCAGATAATTGCAGTCGACTATCATTTATAAATTTTTTAAACAGTCGAATATAAATTATCTGGCGAAATCATACGATTAATTTAAAAATGACCAATTACAATTTTATTCAGTTTAAAATTATCTACAACATTGACATTGGTCACTTTTTAATCAAATTTATTGTTGACCAGATAATTGTAATTAATAGCATCGCCGCCTCTATCATCGCCGACGCTGTTTAAGACTCTCTGAAAAAACAATAATTATAGAGTTATTACGGATTAACGGAAATATAATACAAATAACACAACAAACAAATAATTGCTTTTAATTATATCACTGAATATCTGTATATCATGTGTTAATACAATTATATTTTATTTTAATAGACAGTATACTGTAATATAATAATCATTAATATTGGTTTGAATATGTTTTAAATGAAATTTATATAATGATATTTCATTTATTTATTTATTATGTAGAAAAAATAAAATATAAATAAATATATAATATTTAAATATATTTTTTTTATACACATAATATAATAAATGTAAAGATCATTTGGAAAGTGATATATTATAATAATAATATCAAATAAAAAATAACAAATTATATAATTATATATAAAATATAATAAATAACATTTCATTTATTATAGTGATTACAGTATTTATTATACAGTATTATTAATTTATCTATATAATAATAATAATAATTAAATGATTTATTAATAAAAATAATTTAACTGTAAATTACATATAAAAATCAAATAAAATATTTTTGTTCAAATAATAATTATTACAATAACTAAAACAATAGTATATAATAATTATTTAGTATATTGTTTGTTGTATTTTATAGTCAGTGTCTGACAGTCATTCAGACAACATCACAAAAAAACACTGTAATGACTGCACCGGCGATGATAAAGGATGTAATCAATGGATGATAAAGTGCTGGAGATCGGGATCGGAGGCCATAACTATCTACGGCAAAACGATAATCAAAACAGTGTCCATAGCCATTGCAGACACCATCGATGGTCATATTGGGCATCAGTGGCAAACAATTGTCGACATTGGGTGCAAATCCATTGTCGGTACAGTTTTTCAGTAGACTTTCTAACTCTTTACTACCTCTTGTAGTGTTTGTACAAAGGGTTAGCTTTTTTTAGCAAAAAAAACAATTACTTATCAACACTACTACTACTACTACTACTACTACTACTACTACTACTATCACTACTACTATCACTACTACTATCACTACTACTATCACTACTTACCCAATTATTGGCCGCACACTTGATCTCCAATAGATAACAACACCAACGTTGTTGTTGTTGATTGAAATAGGTGTCATCAATTGATGGCAATATATCGCGTATTCGCCATCGATGACGAAAACATTTGGTCATATCATCACCGGTTTGTTTACAATTAATTTCAAATAATGACAATCGCCGATACAAACGGTGATAGTGTTGTTGTTGTTGACGATTGTCCTGATTGGCAGACAGTGATGACAATGACAACAACATTAGCACACATATGATTATCATAGATACACTTATTGTCTTCATTGATCTATAATTAATTTAATTGCAATAAATAATAATAAACTTTTAAATTAGTAATTAAAATAATGTAATGCATTATATAATAGCTTGCGCTTAAATAATTGCTATTTTATAATAAGATTTCATTGAATATAATAATTTTAAATATTCAAAGCAATTATTAACTCCTTTAATAAATTGATAAACATTTTTGTTTGTTTTTATCAAATATAATGACAGTTATAATGATATTACTTTTAATGATAATGATATCAATCAATCAGTTGGCCAACTGTTTACCCGAATTTTGTACAACCAATCACTTGGAGTCGGCATTCAATTCGGACATCAAAAGAGTGGCCAATCGTATTGAAAACTTTGTCAAACTGATCGGTACCCGATATAAATGGCTTTACAACTCGTACACCGAAACACTGGGCAGAGAGTTACCGTTGGAAACGTTTGACAAATGGTCGACATTTCAAGTGTGGCCCGACTTTCCTGATCGGTCACCGAACTCTGATTGCGATGACCAGTGTCTGAACGTACAAAAGCTACGTAACATTATGTGGGAACTGTACTAAAATAGCCAAACCCAATCATACAGATATCAGTTCTATCGGATCAATGACTCAATGGGTAATATAGCAAAGACAGTCATCAACAGTGCTGAAGATATGCCGTGGAAAATGAAACCCAACGGCACTGACCTAACCGGACCGTTATGGCCACCGGGATTTAGTCGACAACGCTATCGGCCGGTGCTTTACTTAGCCAAACGCTACGAATTGTTGTTTGTGGTGAACGGCGCCAATGGCGACGACAACGACAATAGGCCAGTGCTATACACTGTGGATCTTGTCAAAGGTATGGCCAACTGGACCGAAGCGTTGTTGTCGGCAAATAAACCGTTGAATTCTAAAGGACTGGTCATTCGCGGACTGTTTCTAATGAATTCTACCGTTTATATGATCGGCGATATGAATGATAAGCCACTGGACAGAAGCCTATCGTTTGTCTATCGATACGACGCCAATCGGTCACGAGTGGTACGAACGGCACTCAATCTGAGACAACTGTTTCGTATAGACGACGACTGTATGGCCACAGATTACGATCAAAACTCCTGGATGTTTGTCTTTGTCATACTATTGCTGATGATTGTCATTTTGGTGACCATACCGCTGATCGGCGTCGGACTCTATGTAAGCCATTCGCTAAACAATTCGTTGTCCATTAAAAGTAACATCAGTTCGAGTGGCGGTCAGCGCCCGTCCCGAAGTCCTTCTGATGATTCGGGTCTCAGCATTAAGACTATATCGTCGGATCCGGCCGTTGTTATCACAGACAACAGTTATGTCGGCAGCAATGATGACAGCGATGATGACTACTATAGCAAACTTAGTCATAATAGCAGTAATGGATAGTAATAGTAGTCATATCTGTAAAATTAGTCAATAATAATAGTAGTGATAAATCAATGTTAGAAAATTATTTATTTTGTATTTTTGTATTCAATGTTTTTTTATTATTATTATATTGTATTATACAAAATATACAAAAATATAAATCAATCGATCAATAAATTTAATAATAGAAAATAAACAAAATATTAAATTAAATATATTTGAATAGAGAGTTGACTTTTTTTTTAAAAAAAACATTTAACAAAATATTCTTCAATGAGAGTCAACTCAAACAATAATATAAATATGTAAAACAATAAATCATTTTGTCTGAGATGTCGATGGTTTGGTCGATGTCTTTACTTTTATCGGTCCGAAAATTTTTGAAATATTACCTTTTGATGGATCAGTTGAATGATCCGTCTTTGAATTCGTTTCTTTCGATTGACTGCCAGTTATCGATAGTCTTTTTGTTGATGTGCTCTTCTTCTTGGATCTGGATTTCGAGGACTTCCCAGAAATACCAGACTTTGATGTATTATCTGTACAATTATAATACAATTAAGTTAAGACAATAATAATCATTAGTCAAATTGCCAACAAATTGTTTGTCATCCCCTATCCCTCCCTCTCTCTCTCTCTCTCTCTCTCTCTCTCTCTCTCTCACACACACACACACACACAGACACATAACCACTATTACCAGTATTTCCATCTCCTCGTCCGCTGAATCGAAAAATACAGACAATTATGGCGACACTAAAGATGATGACAACAACAACACCGACGATAATCAATAAAATAGTTAAAATCTTTATTAATCTATCGGTTGCGACAGTAGTTGGACTGATGATAGTATCGGAACAGTCGATCAATGTCTTGGGTTTGCACTGAACAACGAAAAACCAAATGTTTTAATTAAAGAAAAAACAAATAATAAATAATTTTTTTAAAAACATCGTTATTGTAAATCAATTTGTTTTTTTGTTATATAATTAATTATAACTATAATATAGTCTTTCTATCAGATTTTTTTTTCTAATCCTTACCTCAATGTATGGTTTACCCACATAACAGTATTGAATAGTTTTGTTGACATTCATAAAGACAATAGATCCCTGTCCATTTTGATTTTCTAAACAGTTGGCACCACAATCCTTAAAGCTATACTGTGCCATTATTGTCCTAATAGGATATTGACTATTAATTTGTTTCTCCTGATCCCCCGATATAATAGGTCGTTGAGGATGATTAGTATCAATGGGAAGATCTTCATTAGGATTATTTGGATCCCAAAAGTTAAACGATTTCATCTGACCAGTGGTCGACATGAATGTGACAATACGGTACGTCGTCTGACAGGGCATCGGTACCCACGCCAGTAATGGCTGAAAGTTGGTCTCAAATGCTATGGTCGATGTGCTGATTGATTGGTTGATATTAAATGTCTTAGCGTTCAAAACGGCCGAATCAATTGTTTTCAGATCTTTCTAATTGGGTTTTCAAATATCAAAACAAGATATTAAAATAGATTGAATGTATAGATAGATAGATAGATAGAGTTACCTTAAGAGCACCGACCCGACAGTGATCTACTTTTATGCCGGGAAGTATAGGTAAGTTTGTAGCATTATAGCTGACACACCAGGCCATCGAGTATTTCTCACCGGACAACCAGTCAGACTGACCGACACTTTCGGTATTAATTATGACATTTTTAACAGTTATATTGAAGTCATGGAAATCCAATTTCCAGAATGTGTTGCCAATGAAAAAGTATTTCAAATAATCGTAATCATATTCAAGGACTGTTCTGCCAATAAAACGAAATCCAAAATCAATATTATTGTCATTTCTGACGTATTCTTCGCAAAAATCTTTGGACTCGACAAAGACAATCACCGATACAATGGTAGACAATATCAACACCAATGTTGCTGTCATTGATAGACATTTGCATATTATTTATTTAAAGTTTAAATATAGTATTTTTTATTAAAAAAAAAAAATAGTAAATACCGATCAATCGATTGATGACATTCATTGCCGAAGATATAAATCAATTGTAATGAAAAAACAATTATAATATAACTATTTATAATAAACAAAATGACAATTTAATACAAATTTAACCGTTAAATGAGTTTTTTGTACACAAATTATTATTGAATTCACACTTATTTTTTTTATATAGTTTTCGTGACTTATTAGAGTAATTATTATATATATATATWTATTTTTTATTTAATAGTCAATTTATTGAATCAATTATCTCATGAATAATATATTATATATATATTATTATCACTGCATATATTAAAATAGTTTTGTGTTATGGCCCCCAACAATATATGAATATCTCATGCATAAATAATATTAATATTATTTTTTATATTTAATTAATTTATTTATATATTTAAAAATAATTAATGTAATGCTCGACAAGTAATAAATGTATGAGTATTTCAATAATGTTTCAATGATTCTTAACGCGATTATTATAATTAATAAATAAATAAAAATACTTAAATATTTACTGTTATTATTTGTATAATAATAAAATAGTGTAAAAATCTAAAATTAAATTAATAAATTATAATTATAGAGACTGAGTGGGTGTGTGAAATAGAGAAAATAAGCGGGTGAGTGAGTGAGTGATAAAGAAACAAAAACAAAAAAGTAAAATTAAAATAATTTTATATTTTATTTGTAATTTTGATAAAATAAAAAAATATTAGCGATATATTATTATTTTTTTAATCGCATAATAAAATGGAAATTAATTATTGGTTATTATTACATTAGTTTTTATTTGGCAAATAAGATATTTTTTTTTAATTCAAGATAATTATATAGTATAGCACCCACTTGTTGTACAGTTTTAAGGGTAAAATAATTAATCTCATATGAACCAGTAATGCAAGGATGGGTATATATAGTGGTCTCCTCCAATAGAAGATATGGTAAAAGGGTAACAGGGGAGAGGAGTCAATTAGTACATAATATACTACACATATGGGTCTATCAATGATTGCTCAATAACATTGAAATAAAAATTTTATAGTGGCCAACAAAAATAAAAAAAAATAAGGAAAAAGTGTTATATTTTTTTGTGTATTTTAATGTATTATAAACATAATAAATAATAACTGAATAATAATATTACATTTAATTATAATAAATTTAAATTAAAATAACTTATTTTTCAAAATTTGTCTTAATTCTACATTTTCTATAAGTAATTTATTTATAATCTAAATATAATATAGTTTGGTCACTCTAATTTTTTTTACTTTATAATACCATGATATATACTTATACTTGCAATACTGATATGAACTAACCTGTATAGAAATTAATTTAAATACTTATATAAAGACTTATATAATATACTTTAAATGTATAGAAATAATAATCGCCTGAAACAAGTGTGAGCTATACTATATAAAAACGATTACATAAATATACTGTATATAAGTTAAAATAAATTTATTTGAATCAAATTCAGTCTTACTATATTATAGGCATTATATATTACTACTAATAACAATAATAAGTTTATATAAATGTTCCCAA